CTTTCTCCCCAGCAAGCACAAGTGCCCTATGGCAAAACCTTAAGGAAAAAAAAAATAAACTCAAATCTATGACACTCAAAAGATACCAGTTCTTGGGACCAGCAGTTGGTGTAGTGGCTATGTTGCTGGACTCCCATGTAGTTGACCGCGGTTCAAGTCCTGGACCTGGTGGCTTAAACTCACGCCGGGCACGTGTGCGTGCGTGCCTAAGATCCCGAGAGGAGAATGGAGGAGAAGGGATTGCGGCGTGACCATCCCCCCTGGGGGGTGATTTCTCGCTTTCTGTCTCTCTGTCTGTCTCTCTTTCTGGTGAGTGCACATGCGCTATAGCAAAAACCTCTCCCAAAAAGAAGAAGAAGAAGAAGAAGAAGAAGAAGAAGAAGAAGAAGAAGAAGAAAAAAAAAAATGATACCAGTTCCAAAATTACAGCAATGTAATTTCAAACTGTACTTACTCCAGAGCTGGAAAAATAGAGAACACATAATTTTAAATTCTTAATATCTGAGAATATAGGAATACTTAATCTTATTGGTTATTTCTATTTGGAGAGGAAACTAAGGCCCACAGTGTTTTGGTGAACAATGCTATTACCTTTTCTTTAAGAACAAACATTAGAGAAGAGATCTACCTCCTTCTAAAGTACATCATTAGTTCCTGGTTAGCGACAAATCCTTCTCACTGTAAAATTCTAGAAACAGCCTGTGGTATAAATTGGACTAGCCAGGTACCTGCAAACCAGCCACCTGAACAGACTCCAAACGTCCAACTCACCCTCTGCTTCGCCCCTTGCAAAGGTGAAAAATGACAGCGCTGCCAAGGTCAGCTTGCCTGTGTTGGAAGCACACTCAGCTTTCTTAGGTGGGAAGTCCTTCCTTCCTTTCTTTCTCCCTCTTTCTTTCTTTTATACTGACTGACTGACTGACTGACTGATTGGGGGTACACATGCATACATGGCCTGGTGTATTTCTCAAGCCTCTGGGTCCAGGACTTGAACTGCAGTCGGCCATGCAGGATCCAGTGCCTTAACCTTAACCTCCACGCCACTTACTGGCTTTAAGGCCACTTTAATGAAGGCGATTCGAGCTCCTTATTATGAAAGAAGACGTCACATGTATAGGAGAAACCCACACAAACACGAAACACTTCATATTTGTTAGTGGGTTCCTTATAGATTTAAATTTGTGATTTAAAACTTGCACTAAGGCAGCTTTTGCACTCATACACTCCATAATTTATAAACAAAAGAGTGATTCATAGGACTCACAATATTCTTTCCTACAGCTGTTTATCAATAATTAAGTCACTTCTGTGACTACCGTTCGATCTGTGGAATAGAAAACCATGTCTGTATATGTCACTGAGTAAAAACACCTCACCGTACCATCATTTCCTCTGGCGGCGTTTTTAAAATATGGTCCATTTATTTGGCCTTTATTGTATTTAACCAAAAATGACGGGTAGGAACAGCGTGTGCCTGTCAGTGTCTGCGTCAGGGGTGGGGCAGACTGGGTGGGGCAGGGTGGGCTGCGAGTCTGGTTTTGAGGAGACCCTGCATGAGTTACTTCCTCAAGCAGACGGCACAGAAGCAGCTCATACACCGCGATCTATACCTAGGAGGCAAGACTCCCAGTATCTGACATCCCTCACCTTTCTGCTATCTGACTCACGAAATGGACACAAAACCATGGGCACCCATACACACGCACACACACATGCATGCCCTGCCGCTGTGCTTCGGGCCCACACTGGCCCGCCGCACTGGAACCTTTACAGTCTGCACCAAGAAATGTACACACAACACACAGGATGGTTAGGCTATCTGAGCACCGCAGTGCTGGGGGTCACCGCCTAGTCTCCGTAAGACAACAAGACAGGAGAAGACGAACTTCACATCTTACTGTATTCCACCGTGGTGATAGAAAGATGGTAGACAGACAGACAGACAGATAAAATAAAGCCACCTGAGGGTATATTCATCCGAAATAATCAGATTCAGAAGCAGTGGACAGTAGTCGGCCAAAGTTCTGAGAGAGCTAACAATACATTAAGAGTCTTTCTCAAGGGGTCAGCAGGTGGCATGGTGGTTGAGGCATGGCCACCCACATGGTCAAATGTGGTTTGAGTCCCAGACCTGGTGACTTGCTTTCTCACTTTCTCTCTTTCACTCATTCTGTCTCTGGTTTAATTACAAAATAATAATAAAGAAAGAAAATTAAAGTTTTTTTTAAGAGTCTTTTCAAATACAATGACATATAATGAGTGAAGGGAGGATGAAGAGCCAACATTCGATAAAACAGAAAGTGCATGTTGAACGGATCCCTCAGCTCACTTTCCCATGCCAACGCTGGCGGGTGTCACCCCCCCACAAAGGGCTGGGACAGGGTACACTCAGAGTACAAGCACGCCCAAGCGCAGCGGACGAGTGCTGCAGCTCTGCTTGAGGACACGCCACCTTCTCCACGTGGAGGTGTGGTCTCTCCTGGGAGAAGAGCTCTGTTTTGTGAAATTCACAGATTTCTGTGGCGTAATGTCGCGCCCTGGGTGACGTGAGGTGACCCACGTATGTCCCTGCACCTGGAGTGGGGAGTGGAGCGTGCAGTGGCCCGCAGCGTGGAGGGCTAGCACCCTGCCTGCACATCAGAAAGGAACCCCCTCAGAAGCAGAGAGCATGTGATATGCAGTAGAATAATCAGGAAGATATGAAGCTGGAGTACAGAGCAGCCTCGGTCTTACATGACTTATTTCATGTTTAACAATGGTTGTGTCTAACAGCCAGTTTGCGAAGTTCATGAAACTTGAACAACTGGGCCGACGCCAGTACGCCACGGTTTCTGTGTACCCAAAACAGTGTGATTGTCTGTGATTTCCTATCAGCCTTTCTTAAATACTGGAGGAAGAGTAACCTAATTATAAGAAAAACCCCTGAAGCCCTGAAGTTGAACCTAGAACCTGATTTTCAAGAATATGCAGGGTGTTGACATTCTGAATGGGCTGCTTTCACTCCAGGCTATAGGTGCAGCGCACAGGCTGACAGCTCCAGAGAGCATCACGCAGTCTCACGGGACTTGAAGTAGAAAGAACGTTGTGTCGCGTTGCTTTTCGGAGTTGCCGGGGAACAACACACATTCCAGCATACTCTCAGCCTTCCAATCCCAAATAGAAAGCCCTGCCAAAAGACCTCTCTTCTGGAGTTGCAAGTTGCAGAAAAAGATAATTAATAATTAATGCAATGCTGATCCTACAAGCTTGTTTGTTTCTTGTTCCATGACTAGGACAGAGCTGTGTATCTATCAGATAAACGCTGGCCCATGAGTGCAAACTAATAAGCTGTGAGCTTTCAGCAAGACTGCAGGAGAGCTCCGGAATGGAGCCCGCGCTTCAAGCTGGAGGGACTCTATGAGTCTTGAGAGGTTTCCTCCCAGCTCCCGCTCTCTAATTTAAAGATGACAGGGGTACAAATTCCTTAAATTTTAACTGATGGGCAGCAGCCGTACTTCTGCACACGATGTAGGTGCCAGTATGAGCTGTCAGTTTGCATACATGGAATGAAAAGCTCCTGGCTAGCACATGCACTGAACTAAGTGGTGGTTAGAGCAATTTCATCCTGTGAGTATTCTTGGACGTGGAATATAATGAAGAAAGATGATCGCGCTGAAAATGCATCCCAAAAGATCAGAATGTAAACAAAAATAACCCCTAATGAAACGCTATGAAAATACCAGTGTTCTGAAGCATCAGAAAACAGAAATTCAATCTTATCTAAAGATATCTTGGGTCAAGGTGGAGGGTGGCCCAGCACTTATGTGACTGGACCCACACGAGGAAAGTCCTGGGTTTGCATCCCAGGACCTCTCTGGACATGCCAGAGATCTGGGCTGGCTGAGACTGGGGAGAGAACCCTGTTACAGGTGCCTGTCTCTCCCTCTGAAGAAATAAACTCTAAAAATCACTGCTAAAAAATAACAAAACAGCCACTGCTACTAGGCCTGGCCTTGTGCTAATGTAAGCCTACATGTATGGGGCTCCAGCCCTCCTTCCCCGCACCTGACTCGGATTCAGAGCACATCTGTTGTCTGTGTGGCCTTTAGGCTGGGCTGTGATTCCTCAACTTTCCAGGTCTAGCTTATCTATAGCTCCCTGAGTTATTGAGATCAACCTTGGGATCATAAATCAAGAAATTCTATGAAAATGCAATCTCTTGTTCGCATTTGGAAATATAAAAAAATGCTCCAAGGAAGAGATTCATAATGCGAAATAACTGCTTTTTAAAAAGTCAAGTGGCGATGCTGTCTGTTTTCAATTTTAAGCCATCATCTTGATATGTTTAGGGTTGAATTTATGGAACAATCAAGCAATCTTTATATTTAACATTAAATGCCTGACGCTTATAAATCACCTGAGCTGAACATTTATGGGAGAGGTTCAGCGCAACTTCTGAACAACTTGTCACTTTCACTGTATAGCCACGATTTGTAAAACATGATATGCTAAGTAATCCGAGAGCATAATTTAGGGACACAAAAACAACTGTCAAGAAACAGCCAGGGACTACATTTAATGAAATCTTTACAGACTGAAGTAATAAGTATTAAATTAATCAACACAGCTTAATTGAAGTTCTATTTGTAACACTTTTTATTAGACTTGTTATTAATGAACCTTTAAATGCTACCACTAACTTGAGCTCTATGTTAAATTTAAATAATGAACCATTGTTCACACACAGAGAGAACAAACACTGTTTTAACAGTCCTTTGTCTCGCTGGGGATTTCACTAAGGGGCCAAGATAGAGACATCCCTCCTTCCTCCCAGCAGGTATTTGCCTGGCTGGAAGAAAGCTTCTTGGAGGTTGCTACAGTGGTCTGAAAAACCAGTAAGAGAGGAAAGAGGCAGTGGGCGAGAGCGGAAACCAGTGTTTGGTGCCCTCAAAGGCAGTGTTTGCATATCTGTGCTTGAGCACTTCGTGTTGAGGACTGATGGGGTCTGGGCGAGGACTCACCTGAACATGTCTCCCAGGCCCTTCAGCATTCCCTTCTTGGCCTTCATTTTATCCTTTTCTTTCTCTCTATCTTTCTTCTTCTCTTTTCCAGTTTTGTCTTTTTTCCTGTCAGTCTTATCACCTCTGTCTTGGTTTCCGTTTATCTGTCTTTCCAGAGAGTGGGAAGGCTGGTCGCTGGCTGTGGATACGGACTCTCTCCCCGACCTTGAACTTTCTTCTGTGTCTTCTTCCACTTGGAAGAGAAGGGAGGACAAAGAATAAGGTAAGGAATACAGTGAAGCACAGCAACCGAAAGAGGGAAACAGATACACAAGGGAACTTTGCGTTCCCACATGTCTTGCTGCAGGATGGCTGCCGGCAACAACTGGGGACAGAACTGGAGGATTAGTACACGGAGGCTCTGACCTGGCTAGCTCCACACACGGGTGAAGATGGCCACCCAGGGGCGAGCAGCCGCCCTGCTGGCTCTGAGCTGCTCCCGGCCCTGCCACGGCGTCCTGTGTACCGTATCTCCTGTATCTGCAAATCGCAGAGAGAAAACGAGCAGCCCCGCCTCAAGGGCTTCCTGCCGTCGTTACCTTGCTAAGCTGCACACCGTTAGTAAGGGCTCCAGTGTGGGCACAGGACTTCTTTCCTTGGGTTCCTAACTCTGCCCAAGGAAGAGGGGATCGATCGATCGATCGATCGATCAATCTATCTTCTTTCCTTCCTTCCTTCCTTCCTTCCTTCCTTCCTTCCTTCCTTCCTTCCTTCCTTCCTTTTTTGCAGAGAGAGGAGAGGAAAAGTGAGAAAGCAGCCTTGGGGGACGGCCACACCACAATCCCTTCTCTTCCACTTCCAAAATTTTGGACAAGTACGCACACATGCCTGGTGTGTTTTTCAAGCCACTGGGTCCACCTGAACTGTACAGGCCTTGCGGGAATCCAGTGTCTTAAGCACCACTCCACCAGCTGGCCCAAAGAGAGGGTGTTTTAGTTCATAAAAAACTGATCTTCACAACCTCTGTAACTTTTCTTTTTGTTGTCATTGCATACGTCCAATGTAGGTAAAAGCTACTGAAGTTCTGCTTTTGAATACCTCAGCAGGCCCGTCAACACACTGCACTAAATGGAGGTGGATGCCACTGAAAACAAGTAAATGCTTCACCTCACTTCCCCAGACTTGGCCGAGAAAAGATCTGCTGTAACTAGAGCAGCCTTGCGTCTACTCGAAGGACTTTAAGAATTTCTCTACTAAGAAACTTAGATGCACACAGTAACAGCCATTCTCAGAAATAATTGTTGAGGGGCCAGCAGGTGGTATGGTGGCTAAGGTGCTAGACTTCCACATGGCTGACCGCGATTCGAGTCCCGCACCTGGGAGCTTGCTTTCTCACTTTCCCTCTCTCACTCTCTCTGGTCAAGTAAATAATAATGATAATAATAAATAAAATTAAATAATTCTTTTTTACAAAGATAAAATAAAAATAATTTCTGAGACTATCTAAAATTATCTTCCAGATACAATAAGAATTCCTGCGGTTTCAGGGTACTCCTTGAATTTTGTGGCCATCTTCCCCAGCACTGAGAAATAAACCATGGATCAAGGCTTTTGAACTTCTTGCAGCACAGAGCCAAACAGATCAATTGGGCTTCTTCACAATCTTTGGCAATGAGTTGACCCCCAAATCAAATTAACATATCTTTTATTAAAAGAATTATTTTATTTAACTTTATTGACTTATTTATTAAATTTGACCAGAGAGGGACAGAGTGAGAGAGAGAGTGTGTGTGTGTGAGAGAGAGAGAGAGAGAGAAAGCAAGCTGCCAGATCCAGAACTCGAACCGTGGTCAACCATGTGGGAGTCCAGTGCCCTCAACCACCATGCCACCTGCCAGCCCAAAAGTTAACATATCTTTAAGTGCAATTCAATTTTACCTGTTCACTAGCAAGGGGCACTTGAATTAGTGATATGCAATATCAACAGTATAATAATAACAGTTCATCTCAATCTCTTAGTTTTCTTCTATTACAAACTCATAAACCTGAGGAGCAGTAGTTAAGGTACTGGACTCCCACATGACCAACAGCGGTTCAAGTCCTGGAACTAGCGGCTTGCTTTTTCATGTTTCCTTTTTCTCTCTCTCTGGTCAAATTTAAAAATAATGATAACAAATAAAATAATTCTTTAAAAAACAACTAACTCATAAATCTGGAAAGATGTCCTAATATCACAGGTATGACCAATTAATATGGTTAACTTTTCTTTTTTTTTTAAAAAAAGAGAGATTTTTGTCACAGGGCATATGCAATTGTTGGAGAGAAAGAGAAGCAGAAAGTGAGAAAACACCCCCCAGGGGGGATGGCCATGCCACAATCCCTTCTCCTCCATTCTCCTCTAGGGATTTGGGGCATGCATACATAAGCACCAGTGTAAGGTTTGTTTTGTTTTGTTTTGTTTTAAAGAATTATTTTATTTAACTTTATTTATTTATTTATTTTAATTTGACCAGAGAGGGACAGAGAGAAAAGAGAGAGAAAGTGAGAAAGCAAGCCACCAGGTCCAGGAGTGGAACTGTGGTCGACTATGTGGGAGTCTGCCAGTGTGAGTTTTAAGCCACCCGGTCCTGGATTTGAACTGCAGTCAACTACGTGGGAGCCCAGTGATGTAATCATTACGCCGTCTGCTGGTCCCGATACGGTTAACTTTTTAAATGCCAGCTATTTATCACAGCACATAAAAACACGAGGGACAGATTACTGTATTTTCTCTAGAAACATTGGTTAAAAGCATGAGCCCGTACATTGCCCGTCAGCACTGCATTTCAGAAACCTAGTACCAATCCAGTGTGGTATTCAATTCTGTAACTTGTGAAAGAGATTTAAAAAGGATGGCCTCCCTCTGTCCTGGGGACTAAATTCAAATTGCATGTTTCCTTCCTCCTTCAAAGGACATTGTAGCTTCCAGAGGACTTTCTTCTCTCCCTCTCTATCAATTAATATATAAACAGTAATATATTATGTTTGTTAGAGGAAGCCAGTGACAACTTCTAGATGGACACAGTGGAAAACCCATGCTTTTCACACTAAGTTAAGGCTGTCATTTTTTTGTGGTGCACACAGAGCAGAGAAAGAATATTCTGGGCAGCTAGCCCAAAAGCTTGCTAATTATGCGCGGTCTCTTCACATGAAAGCTCCCGGGGAGAATACAGCCTAAGAGAGGTTGTGGCATCTTTCCTCGTACCCTACCATGCTGGGCTCTATCTGCTTTCAAGCCACCATTTCAACCCTTGGAAACAGGTGCGGCCTCAAACTTGGGATAATTGACCAAGCCTACATTAATTTACTCACTCATTCATTCATTTATAAGAGACTTTTGCTATAGGGCACATGCGCTCACCAGAGAGACAGAGAGAGATAGAGAGACAGAAAGCGAGAAGTCACCCCCTAGGAGGGATGACCACGCCACAATCCATTCTCCTCCATTCTCTTCTCAGGATTCTGGGCATGCCCAGACATGTGCCCGGCATGAGTTTGAAGCCACTGGGTCCAGGACTCAAACTGCTGTCAGTCATATGGGAGTCCAGTGACATAATAACCATTATGTCACCTGCTGGTGCCTGACCAAATCATTATTAACTCTATCCTCCAAACTCTTCAGGCACTCCCCACCCAGGTCTCTTGGTGTTCCCAGCCAGATGAAGGAGTGCTCGCGAATTACCTACAGCTCTCACATAGGGTCCTTCCTCACCTAAGCTCCGCCGCCCTTGGTGCGATCTCGCCTCACTGCTTTGTACACAGTATGACTACACATCTCACTCCCATTCTCTAAGCTCCTCCAGGGAGCACTGCCAGGAAGACAACATGGCTACATTAACACAGAGAGTGCCCCTGCACTTGGCGGAGCTGCTGATACGTCGGTTCCTGGTACCTCCTCGTTCTGCTGTTGGTGCTGTAGGTATCGCCCAATGGATTTTACAGCCCTCTACAAGGCCTGCAACTATAAACAAAAAAATGAGTCCAATAAATGTAAACGACTTAGTCTTCCACAGCAGCCATTATCATAAATCAGGAATGGAAGTATCGGGAGCGATTCTGTTCGTTTCCGCCTACTAGTTTTGGCAGAAGTTCAAGGGGCATATGTCTGCTCCTGGCTCAGGGACACGATGAAGGCAGCGCCTTCACCACGCACGAGATGCTCCAGTCACATCTGCTGCCAATCCTCTCCATAGTCATGGTAATTTTCTGATGTACGCAACGCAACTCGTTTTCTAAACTGGGTGAAATGGAAAAAGTCGATATTACCTCATTTATTAACTCTGGGTTTTGTAACCCTGTGTTATAAAATCCAAACGCTGGGCTTGGTTTCCTGCCTCGAGCAAGTGGACTGTTTAAACGACACTTGCACATTTAAGAATTCTTTGTGCTTCTTCTGAACACTCCAATTTAGATAATGCATTATCACGGAAACTCTTCCAGGGGTGTACTGATTTAACTAATCCGTTTGAATGCCAACTAATTAAAAATATTTAGCAATATGTAGCTTCGTATGTACAAACATAAGATGTTCTTTTAGTATATCGCATTATATATGCTTCAAACTCTAAAATGATTCGACAGAAAAAAAACATATGAGTCTCTCACTGTACCCTGCTCCGATGCAAAACACTGTTGTTTTTAAAAGCTCAAATCACTGGTTAAATAAACATGCTTAACGTTTAAAAATACATATGTATTCAAGGTCAATACTATACTCATCAGGTTTGGTTTTAAAACCAGTCTTTATACATCTAATACTACCTTGAGAATAAAGTTCATAATATTGATTCCCTTAACAAGAGAAAGCACAGAAATATTCACATAAACCATTTGCAAGTAAGGAACGTTCTAGCGATATGCCACCAATCAGGCCTGATCTACTGTTCAGAGAGTAAGTCACAAGGAAAGAGTCAGACACCTACATTTAGGTCATTTACTACTTTAAGGCTATGTACATTTTTTCTTCTCTTTAAATTTGATCATCTTTAAAGAGTATTGGCTTTCCTTTTTAAAAGTTTTATTTTATTCATAATGAGAGAAAGAGAGGGAAACACCCTCAGCAGGGTCTCAGCACACCATCCTCTCCTTTCCTGAGTCCTCCAGCTCCTCTGCACCTCGGCCATGTGCACACGTGCCCTGTGTGTTTTCAGACCGACCTGGGGACCTGAACCCACGTAGCTGCCAGGACTGCAGTTAATCTGCTACCAACTGTAT